TTGGTGTTCTATATGCTTCTTGTATTTGTATGGGCATATCTTTCTTTAATTTTGGGAAATTTTCTTCCACGATTCTGTTGAAGATCTGGTCCATGCCATTATCTTGGGATTCTTCTCCTTCCTGTGTGCCTATGATTCGAAAGTTTGGTCTTTTTATGGTGTCACACAATTCATGCAGATTCCATTCTTGTGATTTCTTAAATTTTTCATAATCTTTGCTTGAGTGGTCTAGTTCATCCACTTTATCTTCCAGTCTTGATACTCTGTTTTCCATTTCGTTCATCCTGTTGTTGAGGCTTTCTCCTGTCGTTTCTAATTGGCTTACTGAGCGTTTCACTTCCTTCTTCATTTCAGCCTGAGTATTCTTCAGTATTTCTCTTTTCTGCATTCATTCAGTCAGTTCTTTGAGTACTCTATTTGTGTGTTCTTTAAATTCACTGAATTATTTAATCATGTTTATAATTGTTCTTTTGAGTTCCATGTCCTGTGTTATCTCTAGGGAGCTCTCATTGTACTCCTCTAGAGGACTGTTGGTACTTGGTGAGGATATATTATTTTGGTTTTTGTGTTATTATTTTTTCTCTGTGACTTTGACACATGGATTTCTTTGGTAGTTTCTGATTCTTGTGTGAGACTCAAGCCTTCCTTTGTTCTCTCTTTTGATTTTATATTGGAGTGGCCAGATTGCTTTTGTCTTCAGGAGTTCCCACAGAGGCCCAAATCAGATGTGGGTCAAATGTTCTCAGGCTTTCTCCTAAGGTCTGTATCCCTCCAGGAAAGATTTTGGCTTCAGGAATTTGGGGGTTGGACTGGCCTGGGAGCCGGGCCCAGGAAAGATGCTGGTCTAGGGCAGCTGGTGGCTATGCCACCCAGAGATGCAAAGGAAGATGGGGGCAGGAAGCGGCCCCAAGGGCTCCTGGGGACTGTACTGAGGAACTGGGTTGGTCTGGATGCAAAGGATCAGGAAAAGGAAAGGTCAGCCTTGGCTGGCAGGTTGTGCAGGCCCAGGGAAGTAAAGGGAGGTGAGGGTGGGTCCAGGCCCAGAGTGTTCCTGGGGACCCAAGAAGGAGGAACTAAGTTGGTCTGGGTGCAAAGGATCAGGCAGCAGTGGTGGTTCCCCATTTGTCTAGGGTGCCAAGACAAGGAATGGGACAGGACCCAGGCTAGGAGGAGAGACTGGTGGGGGAGATGGGAGGGTGAATGAGGCTTGGAGAGTCAAGGCACAGAGGGCAGATCAACTTAACCCAGAGAGAGAGGCTTGCGGGTCCGAACTAAATTTTATTTTTTTAATTTTATTTTATGTGTACGAGTGTATTGCCTCTCTGCATGTATGTAAGTGCACCCATGTCATACAATGCCTGAGGAGATCAGAAGAGGGTAGCAGATGCCCTGGAATTGGAGTTATAGACAGTTGTTAGTCACCATTTTGGTGCTGGGAATCGAACCTGGGTCCTCTGCAAGAGCAACCAGTGCTCTTAATAGCTGAGCTAACTCTCCAGCCCTTGGCTCTTAAAGGTCCTACTACTTACCCAACATCACCCCATGGGAAGTCAAGTTCCAAACACATGAACTTTGGGAGATAAGTCTTAAATAATGGCTTCCCTCATATGAATCTCCCTGAGGACAGAGTCTGGTGTCATCTCAGGGGGCACCACAGTTCCTGGGGCAAGCATTGCCACCCTGTGTTTGAAGGAGTGTCAGGCCAGGACTGCTAACCAAAATCAGAGGCTCTGGGGACTTCAGGAAGGTGATCTCAGCAGTGGATGTGGCCTGAGCCACCCACTCTAGAATCCCTTCTTACCATCCTTCTTCCCTTAAATGTCTTTTCTGGAAATTTCATTTGGGTTGAAAAGTTCAACAAAGCTTCTTTCCGGAGATGATGTCATTATTTCTGTATCATTTAGTCGAGAACAGACAGCCTTTCATGGGTCCAGTAGAGCATTGGATTTTAAGCACTGAAGAATTACACCAAATCTGTATTTGCTGTTATCACTAATTAGTAACATAGCAATTAACAGTTTATCCAACACTTAACTATGTCTTTAGACTTTAAAAATATTTTTTACTGTGCAGTACAAAGCCCCAGACATGAAGACTATGCCCCACAGTGTGCTATGATACCCACTCCAGTACCACAGCTCAGAGACATGGCAGGGTAGGAGTGCAGAAGCTGGTCCTGGTGTATGTTGAACCTATGAAGTTGCCATTCTGCTAGGCTCCCCCCAAAGACGAAATACTGGCAGTTTCCTATGTTTCAGCCTAGACGAGGATTCATGGTTCCTGTGCATCTGCACTATACAGTGTCTCCCGAACTGCATGCCTTTAGTGGTCCCAACTCTGCTGTTGATAGCTGCTTCTATCCATCTTTTCTCAGACTTCGTACCATAGTGAAGAATGTAATTCGGATTTGACCTTTTTTCTTTTTGTCTTTTTGAGACTGGGTCTCCCTGTAGCCCTAGCTGGCCTGGAACTCGCTATGTAGACAAGGCTGGCCTTGAACTCACAGAGATCCTCCTGCCTCTGCCTTCCGAGTGCTGGGATTAAAGGCGTGCGCCAACACACCTGGCTGGATTTGACCTTTTATCTCTGCTCATCCTAGTGTGGAGAGAGCTATATGAAGCGGCTGAGAGTGGCCAGTGATGAAAGCTAAGGGACAAAAGGCCAGGCTCGTGTTGCTTGGATGGTGGGGAGGGTAACATCGGGTGTACTGCAGACTGCCTTCTACCTCAGGCTGGTTTTGCCTCCAGGTACACTGTGCTTCGACTAATGATTCGGCAAAGGCTGGAGGAGATAGCCGAGACCCCTGCAAGTATCTGAGCCACAGGAATGTGGAGAATCCAGACTCTCCAGGGGCTGCCACTGACCTGAAGAGACCCACAGAATGCTGGACGCTTTCCTTTGCACGTGTGTGTATGTGTGTACATGTGTGTGTGTGTGTGTGTGCATATGTACGTGTGTGTGTGTGTGTGCGTTTGTGTGTGTGTGTGTGCGCGCATTTTATGTCCATGTGCCTCCCTGATGTTTTCACATGCAATTAAATTCCAAGCAGCCAGCACAAGTGCCATGAGGGTAGCAGACATACTGCCTGTGGGTAGGACGGTAACTGAGAGGCTTTTGGCTCCTCCACTGCCGGGGCAGCTCGCACATACCTGCCATGTTTGGAAAGATAGAGAGTTCTGCCAGCTCACCATTTGGAATATCTGAAGAGATTCTTCCCATATGCCAAGAAAGATGGGTGACTGTGAGAGCCTTGGAAATGAATGAAGTAACAGCCCCACATACACTTGGGGCAAGTCCACTGGGAAGAAAAAGTGAGACCACTGTGGGGTAGATGCAATGAGTCCATAGTTTTTACACTGGAAACGTGATCATTTTAAAGAACACGATGAGCATGCTGCCCTGTGGGGATGCCTGCAAAGAATGGATTCTGCCTCTGTCTGTGGCTCCATGGACACCTCAGGAGTCAGGGAGCTGGGTGTTTCTGCTCACCAAACTGCCAGCTCAACTCTTTGATGCTTTCTTGGCTTAAAGAAGTCTCCTGAAACAAAGGTCTCTCTGGGTTGCACACAGCTCCAGCTGGCTCATGTGCCCAGGGCCAGGCTTGTACTGAAGTAGATGGTATTCAGAAAGCTTTTAAGCACTTCTGTGGTACTGGAAGAAAGGACAGAGGCCACCTGCAGAAATGATAGGTGCCTTCAGTCAGCCAGTTTTCCTCCACGTGGAGTCAGGGCTTTTCATTTGAAGTCAACATTTGATTCTTTCCAGTCTCTGGATTCTTTCAAGCTCCCTCAACCTGCACATGCAGACAGACTCCAAGAATGAGGAGTTGTCCTGTTGCTGACTGAGCATGGAGCTTAAGGATGCTCTTTGGGTTGTCCCATGAGGTTGTGCAGACAGGATGGAACTTGCTCAGCCTCTGAGCAGCCATGCTGCTGAACTTTAGAACCAGCCTCATTTTGCAGAATGGGCAGGAATGGTCTGTTCACTGTGTTCCCTACTGGGGAGATTACCATGCAGCTGGGTGTCTGTGTGGTTGATGCCATTTGAGGCAAGAGAGGCAGATACTAGGAGCTGGGTGGTGTATTGTGGAGTTCAACCAAGCAAGACAAACAGCTTCTAAGTCAGATGTGTCTGAGTCTTGCTGCAGTGAGGTGCTCTTCTCCACTGGCTCACCAAGAAAGCTCTGCAGAGCTGGGAAGTTGAGGGATGGAGGGTCCCTCAGCAGAGCCTCTAAGACATTCTCTGGTCCACCAGTCTCCTTAGGAGGCTCACAGATGTGCTCTCATTGTGGGCTTTTAAAAAGCTAGCTTGTAGCCCGCCATTTTCTGGGGGCTGTTGCCTTAGGAGTGGAAACTCAGAGGGGTTTCAACTCAATCATACACTCCTGTGCACATCAGCAAAAAGCACAGATTGGGGGGAAACTGGGGTTGGAGGTAGTTGAGGCTTCTCACATTACAGGTGGAAAAGAGCAGTTTTGTGGATGCAGATATTTGAGAAAATGATTTGAACAGTTTCTCTTACGGATTTTTTTCTTGGATGTTCAAAGCCTGCATTGCCCTAATGATTCTTTGGGAGCTGGTAGGAATTTTCTCAAAGCAAATTAAGAACTATTTTCAAATATGTTTGATAGATTTATCTTTTTCTTCCAGAGCTGAGGGTCTTCTGCTTGCTACCATTGAGCTGAATCCCCATCCCCATAAGCACTAACTCTTACTGGTTTATAAAGGCTCCCTGTAATCGCATTAGGACTATGACAGTGTTAAGCAGGGGATGTTGTAAAATGTCAGGTTGCCAGGCACTCTGTGAGAACCTGATGCCAGCGTAGGTGTCTTTTTCAGGATAGGGCTCAGAGTAGGAGTAGGGGTATACTTCCACTAATGTAGGCCACAATTTTCCATCTTGACCCAAGATCATTTATCATATCCAAAGAACTGATCAAGAATTTTAGGGCTGGCGATGTGGCTCAGTGGTACAGCACTTAGCATGTATGAGGCCTTGAGTTACATCTTCAGTACAAGGGGAGAGAAAAGGTAGTGGCTGGGGGCGCAGTGCTGTGGTAGAGCAAGTACTTAGTGTGTGTAAATCAGGGCCTGGTTTCCATTTCTGTCACCACCCCCACCCCCACCCCCAGTGAACTTTGGAAACCCTTGGAATAGCCACAGCTAAAACAGACCACCACAGTGTGGACTGGATTTTCTCACTGGTATCACTTGGCCTTGCAGCTTTGAACTCTGACTGATTGGTGTGGGTTTATGCAATTGAGTGCAATGAACCTGAAATCCTGAGGAATCAGACCAATGCACAGTGGTTTTGAATCCACTTATGAAAAGCAGTTTAGATGTGTCTGGGTTTTTTATTCCCCTGCAAAGGCTTATGTTACAAAATGATCAGATGAAGGGAACACCCCACACCTTTCAAGTAGGGTGGTCGGATTAAGCCCAAGGTCACATTCTTGTTGATCGTATTAGTGGGGAGGTGATAGTTTAAAACAGGAGGGGGTGTTACTTGGAAAGGGACCCAAAGCACAAATGCCAGCCTGCCTGCCTGTATCAGTGAAGGGCCCACACCGGTCACATGCTGGATGGACTGCAGCTTGGAGCAGAGGCTGAGAGCATCTTAGGAGGAGAGCCCCGAGGCTCAAGGTCAGGGTGTGCCTCTAAGACATGCTCATGTTTCAGGGAGAAATATTTGCACCCTACTCCTTACCAAAAGAAACATGCTTCTAGAAACTTCCAGATAAAGACATTTATCATCTTATCTGTGACATTTGATGACCCTCCAAAATCTGTTGTCCATGCAAAAACATCTTGGCAGGAATTGTGTTCTGTGGAGTTGGTGTTTATTTAGTGTCAGGAGGGTAAGAGAAGAAAGGAGCCAAAGGGGGCAAGAAGCATTCAAAAGAAAAGAATGGCTCTTTTAAAAACAAAACCTTCAAAATGAAACCTGTACTTTACTTAAAGCTTTGTAACATGGAAAACCATGGACACATTGGTGCCAGGGACACATTTCCAAGCGAAAAATTTCCAGTGACCAAGGGAAGCATAGTGTCCCATAGCAACAAGCCCTGTGGTGGAGATAAAGTAGGGGCAGGAGGTGGGGGTGGGGTGGGGGCAGGAACCAGCCCTGACCTCGTTCCTGAAGCAGCATGGGTTTTGGAGTTTCTGCTGAAATTGTTTTATGTAAAGTCTGACTTGTGTCAGATGATAGGCTCTCTTAGATGAAAAGAAGCACACGTGGGGGCTGGAGAGATGGCTCAGTGGTTAAGAGCACTGACTATTCTTGCAGAGGACCCAGGTTTGATTCCCAGCACCCACATGGTGGCTAACAACCATCTGTAATTCCAGTTCAAGGAATTCCAACACCCTCTTCTGACCTCCCTGGGCATTGCATGACACGGGTACACTTATATACATGCAGGTAATACAGTCACACACATAAAATAAAAATAATAAAATATTTTTAAAAATAAAAGAAGCACAAATGTGACATCCCTTTTTTCAGACATGTTCCCATGTCCTGGTGGAACCCCCCCGACCCCCGCACCATTAAACTGAGCACAGAGGTCCATGAGCTGTGAATGGACAGCCTTGATTTCCAGGCTGTTTCCAGATGTTTCTGATGGTTTCTGGTGTGTCTTGCTAGTGTTTCTTAGTTGTATAAAATATTCTTAATCATAACTTGCCTTTCCACAGTGGTACATGACCTAGTTCAACAACTGGTTGTAAACTGATAAACAGATGCATTTAGACATCTTTACATACTTTGACAAGGCCTCAGTAGGGAGCCACATTTTTGTAACTTTTAAAATATTTTTTGATGCACCTGACTTAGATCTTATTTAAATAAAGCACTTTTCAAAGAGAAGTCCTTCGTGGGTTTCATCTGTGTGGGTGTGTTGGGAGGGGAGTTCTTTTGGGAGAGGTTGGCTATAAGGTGGGGACAGAATATGAAAGCACAATTTAGGTGATAAGTTGCTTTTCTTCCCCCAGGGCTTATGGTTTGAATGTGCTCAGACCTAGTTATAATGTACTTAGTCCATTTAATGTTGCTATAACAAAACAGCAGAGACAATGAAATTTATTAAAAATAGAAGGTTTATTAAGTTCATATTCTGAACTCTGGGACTTCTAAGGGCATAGAGTCAGCATCTGGTAGAAACCTTTGTATTGTGTCATAGTGTCATAGAGGGAGTCACACAGCAAGATAGAACAAGCATGTTAGAGACAGCTCCACCACTGAGCTCCACCCTTAGCCTGAGAGCTCATGATGACAACAAAGCCACTCCTACAATAATCCAGCCTGTGAAAGGATTATTATAGTCATGAAGGCGGAGCTCTAATGACCTAGTCACCTCACAGCATTGCTGTACTGGGGACCAAGGTTTCAACATGTGAATTTAGGGGACACATTCAAATCACTGTTTGACCCAAAGCCAGGTGTGCTGGCTGGCACAGGCCTTTAATCCCAGCACCTGGGAGGCAGAGGAAGGGCAGAGGTCTGTGAGACTGAGGCCAGCTTCCTCTACATAGCAAGTTTCAGGCCAGATGGGGCTACAGGGAGACCCTGTCTCAAAAACAACAGCAGCAGCAACAAAACAACAACAACAAAAGTGACCCAAAAGCACAATAGTGGCACTTTTTTCTCTGGCATCACCAGCAGCTGCCTAATTGGACTTAAGGTCTGTCTGCTCACTAGGAGGGAACTCATGCCTGGTACTGTAAACCTACAAACCACCCTTACTGGATAGGTCATAAACCCTAGAGAGAACCCACTACTACTATTTTCTTAGACGAGTACGATTTCTAACTCTACTTATCCTCATACATAAAGTGTAGCTCTCACCCTTTATGGAAGAAGCTTCTTTTTTCAGCAGACAGTGGCCACCCCAGAGATCTAAAACTGGTCAAAATACAGGGAATAAGTGACCATGGGATGGCCAGCTCCAATTGGTACATCTACAACACAACCCTTAAACCTAAGATGGGGGGAACATTGTGGAAGAGGGAGCAGAAAGATTGTAAGAGCCAGGGGACCAAGATGCCTGCCGCAAGATAGCACATCCTAGAAAGCTGCACCCATGAAATCTCAATATAGCTGCCTAACCAAGACTTGCATAATGATAATACCAGCTGTCATGCCAACATGGATGGGGGAGATTTTACAAGGCCCCACCCCTAAAGAAGAGGCAATCAATGGCTGCTGAGAGAGAGAATCAGTTTTTTAGTTATATAAGAAGAGGTCATGATTTTGAGAGGGAGTTGGAAGTACATAGGAAGAGGTGGAGCTCGGACGGGGAATTGAAATAAATAAAAGGGAAAATCAAGCATGTCCTCCTGTGAGTCTCAAGCTGAGACCATCGGAGAAGCAGGAGCTGTGGTGGGCAGAACTGGGACTCAGCAGGGCTGGATTTCACGCTGGCATCACCCCTGACTCATTAAGATCCTAGGACCAAATCAATGAATCTTTTCCTAGGACTTGGTTTTCTGACCTGTGCACTATCAGACTTTGCTTCACTGGAAGCACCCTCTTAATGGTCTCAGGTAAGGTTTTCAGACTTAGGTCCATGTTCTGCACTGTGGTGAGAGAATGCGCAGTGGCTGGTTATGCTGGTCAACTTGGTAAGGATGTGGTCCAGACATTTGGACAAATGCTAAATGTTGCTGTTAATTATTTTTCAGATGAGATTAACATCAGTAGACTTTAAGTAGATTCCCCTCCATAGTGTGGGTGGGCCTCATCAAAGCAGTTGGAGGCCTTAAGAAAAAAATAAACTGTCAGCCATCAAGGAAGAAATTCTGCTTCAGTGGATCTCTGAGATGGAGGCCAGCCTGGTCTACATAGTGAGTTCCAGGTCAGCTGGAGCTACAGGGAGACCCTGCCTAAAAACAAAAACAAACAAAAAAGGTGTTCCGCTTCTAGCTTATCTTTGGGCTTGAACTGTAGCACCAGTCACATAAGCTAATTCCTTGAACCCCCCACCCCCGTGTGTGTGTGTGTGTATGTGTGTGTGTGTGTGTGTGTGTGTGTGTAAATAGACCTCCTTATCTGCAGAGTCTACATTATTGGATTAAATCAACTGTGGGTCAAAAGTAGCTTTTGACAAAGTTTCACAAAGGGGGCTGGAGAGATGGCGCAGGGTTAAGAGCACTGGCTGCACTTGCAGAGGACCCAAGTTCTCTGCATCCATATGACCTCAGCGGGCCTTGCACAACGCAAGTCTACTTACATATATGCAGGCAAAACACTCATACACATAAAATGGAAATAAAAATAAATTTAATAAAATTCATGAAGTTCCAAGAGGCAAGCTTGAATTTGCCATCCACATCAATGCAGGAGACTTTTCTATGGAACATCTCAGGGGTGTTGGTGACAGACAAGAAACAAACCATTTGCTTGGGATCTCACAAAGATCCAAAGTCAAGCAATAGTCCTCATAAAAGCCAGAGTGCCTGGATTACCCAACAAGCACTAACAGCCTGCCAAGGGAGGCAGTAATTCTTGGTTTGCTTTATGGAACTGGGTTTTATTTTGGTATTATCTGTCTTATATAATGAGGTGATTACTGAGTGGGGTTTTCTGTGAGTAGAAGACTTTTCTGTTCAGTTTTTAATGCATATGAATGTTACTGGAATGTTTGAGTATAAGTGAGCACTACTCGAGACTGAACTTGGGTAAAATTGTCATTGCTATTTTCTTTTTAAAGTGATGCAAAATAGAAGTCATTATGTGTGATTTCAACCAGGCATGTAAGTTACATAAGTATGTGTTCACTTTGTATAAATAACAATTTACTAATCCATACTTTAGAAGTATCTAAATTAACATTAGAACTCTTAAAGCCACAGGCACATTGGTAAGAACCGTACAGCAGATTGACAGACATGCCCGCAATGCCAGTGGTCATTCAGTAGACACAATTTTTGTCAATTATACCTCAATAAAGCTAATTTTATGCATTATATACAGCATGAGATGATTGCCACAATCCCATTAATCAACACGTCCATCACCACACATGGTTGTGTTGTATGTGTTGGAGGAGTTAATAAAGATCCTAAAAAACTTGAGGCAAACAATGGATATTAGTAATTTCAGTCACCATACTATACATTAGAACTCTAGAATCAACTCATCTTTTAAATGACAGTTTCTACTCTGGCTTTGGATATGACACCAAAAAGCACAGACAAGAAAAGCAAAATAAACAAGTATGAGAGGGTGGAACTGCAAAACTTCCGCACAGCAAAATGAAAAGATCCCTCAGGATAAGAAAACATTTGCAAGCCACATAGCTGATAAGAGGTTAATGCCCCAGCATCACTCTTGACTTTTGTGTCTCTTGCTGACCCCTCCTTACTAAACTCCTTTAGTTGCCATGGTCCCCCATCCCCACATCTGCATAACCACCTGGAGTCAGCAACACTGAGGCAGAGAACCCCAGGCTTCTGGGGGTGTAACTGCTGCCAACATTGGAGCAGAAGGGACAGGACAGCATGGGTGTGCCCTACAATGGAGGACAATTATGTCTCAGAGATGCCTGGAATATAATTTTAGGAAGAAACTGTTAAGAATTCCCACATATACCAAATGTTAGCTTTGGGAGGAGGGCATTCAAAAGCCTCGAATCCAAAACAATCCCAGGAAAAGATCCTAAAGATGAGGAACATATTTGAGAAATATAAATTTGGTTAAAGTTCTTAAACCCCATTTTGGTAAGAACACAAATTGTCACAAAAATCAACTCAAGCAGTTTGGCCCAAAGCTCTTGAGTTAACAAAATGAGAAGAGTCAATAACATCTATGAGCTATTAAAAGAAACCAAAGTAAAGGCTGAGTTTAAAATGCTCATAATAGGCTAGAAATGAATTAGAGGAGATACTAAATGAGAACTTCAAAGTTAAAACAGTGAGAATATAGGGGTTGGAGAGATGGCTCAGTGGTTAAGAGCACTGGTTTCTTCTGCAGAAGACCTGGGTCAGTTCTCAGCATCCACATGGTGCCTAACAACTGTCTGTAACTCTAGTTCAGTTCCCGGGGGCCAACACCCTCTTCTGGCCTCCACCGACATTGCACAACATAGGTGCACTTACATATGTGGAGGCAAAACACTCATATATGTAAAATAAAATATTGTATTTCTAAGTATCTAACAAAAGGCTAAAAACTAAAATTGAAAAGTGTACTTTATGCATTAATTGGAAATTTCTCGGGTCTCCCTGCATTTATCCTATAGACTCATGTAATCCCAATAAATCAAGCAGAGTTTTCATGCCTTCTTCTTTACTTTTAAGGTAATGGTTCAAGTAAAATAAAATTATACTCCCTCAT